GTGGGGCCCACAAATAAAATTGGTAGCAGGTAGACTTCTCGCTCATGGGGGTCCAAGTTGGCATGCCAAGTTGTCAAAAAAGTCTGAGGTGGCGCTAACATGTGCATACTTGACAAAGGCCAACGGTGCATGTGCTACACGTGACGCTCCAATGTTAAATTTTGCCTCATTTTCTCAAACTCAAAAATATGAAGGGCAAAAATCCATGTATGGTAATATGGAGGGTAAAAACCCTCAAATTCAAAAAGTTAAGGGGCAAACGGGTACCTTTTGCCTCAGATTCTGTTTGTAAATGGTAAACACATCAAAAAAAAGGGGAGAAGATCATAAATGTGATATGTCATTACTGATTGGAATATGAATATAGGTAAGAAAAACCAACATCTTTTTGTTTGAGTGGAAGAAATTCAGTTCTCTTTAAATAAGATCTCAAATTCGAGTCTTGTGAATGGAGAACAAGCATTGAGAGAGCTTATTCTTTAATAAGATCTTTTAATAAAATCCAATGCGATTGAATTCTACATAAATCAAAATCCAATATGATTATCAGAAACTGAGAGGCTAATACCAAAAACAAATATAAGTAAGAAAAACTAGACTATAATTAATTCAAGGTTTTTATATTTCTTGATATTGAAAGTACAAAAATTAACATTAATTTCACTATGAATATGATAGATTTTATTTTAATTGATTAATTGATTAATTAATTAGTTAATTATTAAACTTTATGCTTTAGTATCAATTAATGTAAAAAAATACAATAATTGTACTATTAAATCACACGGTAGAAAAACCCATTAATTAGTAATATCAAAAAGGTATTTTTCATGTAGACCAACAAGAAAAAGTACCCAAATTTCTACTCTCTTTATTTATTTTTAGTAGTTATAATTTTATTTTTTGATTTTCATATATAAATTTTTTATGAAAATTTAATATATTATATAAATGATAATTAAATTTTTTTATTAATTAAAAATACTTGGCAAGAACTTTATATAAGGAAAAAAAATCTTTTCCATTGTTATTAATATAAATTATTAAATTTTTATTTAAAATTTATGTCTAAAAAATAAAAAAGTCAAATTAAAATTATTAAAAGGAAACAAATGGAGTATAAATTTATTTAAATACCCTTGATAAATCATTTGTGTATGTTAATTTATTAATGATATTTAAGTCTTTACACAAACATTTCTGCCCAAGGTGATCTTAAAATTTACATTCCCCAATTATATCTGAGAATTACAAAGCCTAGTACCATATAAATCTACAGTTTGTGGGAAGGTTTCTTACCTCGAATTTGATTAGAGAAGCCAAAAAATAAAATAATAAAATAAAATAAAATAAAACAGAGTGCTACTTCAACAATGGCTACCATCATTGTCCCAGATCAAGTTTCTGCCATATTGAATATGCTGAAGCTCTCAGAAGGGCATGTAAAGGTTAGCATATATAAATTCATACTTGAATCCACGGATTTTTTTTTGTTTTTTGGAACTATTAGAAATGCATTCCTGGATTTTCAATGTCAATCTTAATTTTATATTAATGGTAGACGTTTCATTCTTTCTATGTACATTAATTAATTAAAATTTTGCTAAAACACATAAGAACATAGGATGGGGGACTGATGAGAAGACCATAATTTCATTACTGGGTCATAGAAATGCAGCTCAAAGGATGCAAATCAGGCTTGCTTATCTCCAGCTCTATCAAGAAGATCTTATCAAGCGGCTTGAATCTGAGCTCACAGGCGATTACAAGGTTATTAATACTAATCTATAATATATGAGAGAATGATCGGTCAATTTTTCAATTTAATACATCAATTAATACGTACTCATCCAATAATTAAAATCTCTCATTTCAATTTTTTTTATAAAATTTTAAATTAAAAAATAATAATTTTTAATAAATATATTGTGAAATATGTTGAATTAAAATATTAATATTTATATTTATAATAATTAATTAATAATTATATATGAATTATGAATCACATTTTATTCACGTATGTTTGTTAATTAAATAGAGAGCCTTGTACCAGTGGATATTGGACCCTATAGATCGAGATGCCGTCTTGGCTCATGTGGCTATCAGGAAAACTAGCCCTGTGGATTACCATGTCCTCATCGAAATTTCCTGCACCCGCTCACCGGAAGAGCTTTTGGCCGTCAGGCGAGCATACCAGGCACGCTACAAGTGTTCCCTGGAGGAAGACGTCGCTGCTCATACAGCCGGTCACTTCCGCAAGGCAAGTTAATTTCTCTCTAGGATCTGCCCAACCAACCAACAAGTAGAGGTGGAAAAAATATGTAACTGAAAAGAATTCTGAAAGCAACTGAAATTAAAATTGACAAGTTGGGTTTGACTTAGGTTTTAGATTTCTTTGAATAAAAATTAAATTGAATCAATCTAAACTGGTTTAGGTTTTGATTATTAAATTTGAAAATAAAAAATTAATTGTTAAGGTGAGTATAATTAAAAAATCTGACACAAAATTTTTTTAATAAAATTTTTTAATGATTTATAAATTTATTTTAGGTTTTCTCCCCACTATCTACTAAGTTATTTATTTTCTTTGAGTAATTTTTAGTTTTTTAATGGTTAAAATTAATAAAATAATAATTAATAAATTAAAAAAATATTTAAAAGATATAAAAAGAATTTTGTTGGTTAAAACCAAAATCAATTTGAATGGTTATTCTTAAAAATATAACCAAAACCGTTTTTGATTTTTAAAATTTAATAAACAAAAATTTAGTTAACTGGTAATTTGGATTTTGTCGTAATTAAAATTAAACTGTGCCCACCCCTACCAACAAGAGGTTGATTGAGCTCCTATCCGTAACTAAAGATTATTGATTTGAAATTAAGGTAAGAGCTTTAAGTTTCTTTTATAATGGTGTTATTGGAATAATTTTTTTGTTTAATTTTTTGATCCAACTTTTTTATCTAACCTTTTTATCCTACTTTTTTTTTACAACTTTCACATCTCATTAAATGAGTAGATGCATTCAATATCATGAGTCTCACATGAATTAAAAAATTAATCATTTTAATGATACGTCAAATTATACAAAAAAGTGAGATAAAAAGATTGTACAAATATCATTTCCCATTCCTTTAATGCCAAGTAGCTAACTCCCTATGTTGCTTGTGCAGCTGCTTGTTGCCTTGGTGAGTGCATTTAGATATGATGGTATGGAGATAAATGCCAGACAAGCGAAATCAGAAGCCGATGCTCTTCACAATGCCATTAAAGAAAAGGCGTTTAGCCATGAAGAAGTACTTAGGATTGTGAGCACAAGGAGCAAGACTCAGCTCATGGCAACTTTCAACAGCTACAGGCATGACCATGCCATTTCCCTATCTAAGGTACATAAACAGAGTTACAGCTTCAGTGCTTCCATCGGAAACAGTTTTTGAGTACTAATTTAATGGTTCTCCTCTTTGTTATTGTACTTGTCCAGAATTTGCAGACGCGGGAATCGGGTGATCACTACATAGAAGCACCGCACACTACAATTAAATGCATCAATGACTCAAACAAGTACTTTGAAAAGGTTAAGTGGATCCCTTCAAACTAAACATGCATGTTTCTTAATTTATAAATGAAGAGAAAAAAGAAATCGAATTCATGTAGAACTTGTGCATTATTAACTAGGTGTTGCGCAATGCAATCAAAAGGCTTGGAATAGATGATGGACTTACTCGAGTGATTGTGACAAGGGCAGAGAAGGACTTGAAGGATATCAAGGAACTTTACTACCAGAGAAACAGTGTCCCTCTTTGAACAAGCTGTTGCCAAGGAAACCCATGGAGACTACAAGGCCTTCATTCTCACTCTCCTTGGAAAGGAAGATTGAATTCTTTAATCAAGGGCATCAATGCAGACATAGAAAAAATTTCCATATTTTTCTATGTCTATGTTATCAAGTATCAAGTTTCTCTCTGTGTTTTCATAACAAAATAATTATCTACAAAAAAAAAAAAAAAGGAAATTTTCCTTTTGTTTTTAAATGCCATCCAAAACACTAACAGTAGCATCACATAGTTGGGAGGCTAAATTTTCATCAGCAAAGGGCAATGGTGATAACAGTGCCTGATTCTTTAACTTCTATCATGGCTTTATTAGGATGATGGACCAAGTAAAATATATAATAGAAGGATTTTCAGGAAATAACTTATGTTTACAATGTTCCATGGGCAGCTCTCCCCTTAATCTTATCATGCATTCCTGTTTCAATCTTTTTCCAATGGAACCTGGAATCCAAGTCTGTTTCAATCTCTATTTCTGTAATCCGGTTCATGCCTGGTATTTTGTTTCGATCTGTTTTATTCTGTAATAAGAGAGTAACTTCTTATTCCAGTGACAGCAAAAACAATTTTAACAGAGTGGTATGGTTGAAAATATTTGCATTTAAATGCTAACAACAAACGGCATTAACAATGCATTATTACCGATGATTTATTCGTCTGAGTGAAAAGAACTTGATTTTCTTTAAATAAGATATTGAATTCGAATTTTGTAAATGAAGAAATAAGCGTTGGGAGAGCTTCTCTCCTAATGAGGTCTAACACGGTTCGATTCCAAATTAGTTAGATTTAATATGATTACCGGATACCGAAAAATTAATAAAAAAAAAAACAATACATTATTTTGTTCCTCGTCAGCATTGTCTAATATTTATATTGATACTGATTATAAGTTTAAACAATGGTGTCTAGAATTTTTACATTGTAAGATTTTTACATTGTAAGAGTCCTAAGTATTGAATTTATTGGTAAATAATTGTCACATTTTCTACTAAATTAAGAGATGAATATGGAATATGTATACCATCTATTATTTAAGGAATAAATATACTCTTTTGATCCTTTCCTAATGTAAACAGAAAATTAGACATTAAAGCTTAGGCAAAACTCCTAAATTTATCGTGACAAATTCACCTCTTAATAAAATGAAAAGACACCAACGAGGGATTAGATCAAGTGGCAAGCGACTTGTTTCAGCTTAAGCAAGGTCTCGAGTTCGAAACCTTGTGTATGCAGCAACTTTCGTTGGGAGACCCACTCACTATTCTGGTGCGCCACAGTTGGTCGAGTCCGGAGTAGTCGGGGCGAAGCTCCGGATACCGGATGGGAAACCAAAAAAATAAAATGAAAAGACAAATTACCTTCAAATTATAAATAAAAATAAATCACCTATTTTTTAACAAAAACACATTAAAATTCTATTTACCATATAAGTATTTTTTTAACAAAAAAACGTTAAAAAGTGAATTATTTATTTTCATTTATAATTTGAAAAGTCAATTCGTCCCTATATTAGAGATGGATTGCCCATGCAATCTATTTGAAGGGTGGATTGGGGGTTCTGCCTAAAGCTTAAGGGTATGTTTGGATAGAACATACCGAAGCTAGGAAAATTGTAAGGAGAAGGTGGCATACTGATGTAAGAATCAACGTACAAGATTACAAGTTTAACCATGAACGCAGATAGAACTAACTTAGAGCCTAAAACGTAAAATCCAAATGGTCCAATCTACATAGACAATTTGGTAGACATCACTTCCTTTTACTTTCCTTTTTAGTACCAGGTCTCTCTCTGTTAGGGGCAATTCTGGTCTCAACACCTGTGTTCTCCAATGAAGTAAGAGCATCAAGTATTGGTCGAGAAGATACATTCATTGCTGATTCAGTTGTACTTGTCAGGTTAGACATCACAACCACATCCTTCAATTTCTGCAGCACTTCAGAGAAAACAGAAGCTCCAGTCTCATACTGCAAGGGAAAAGAAGACATGCAAGATTTACATGTGAAAAGGCTCAACTTTTTACAAATTCATTGCATAAGTACCTTGATTTTCTATATATCAACAAATGCAATGGACTTAAAAAGTAAAATAACATCTGAGAAGATGAAATCGGAAAATTTCCCAATTCAAAGCAATTGCATCTTTCCATCTATCATAGCAGAATTGCATCTCGGTATTAAGTATTGCTGCTCATATGAAAAAGGTAGAATTAGGTAGAAGATTTTCTTTTATAATTTCAGTCCCCCATGAATATAAATGCTTGTATATTTGCTCGAGATTACATACTTTATAGTCGGAAAAGAAGAATAAATATTAGCAAATTCAACCTCGTCCAAAACCAGTAAATTGATGAGGCAAGTTAGAATAGGTATTCTCTTCTCTAGAATGGATATCTGAGAGAAAAATGGGAAAAAGGCAGTTAGAATAGGACACTTATGCGGTGATCCTTTATAACAGAGAAAAATCTGAAAAATTTAACAAGCACATTTATTTCTTAAGTTAAGGGGACAAAATAACCTGCTTTGTTACCGATATTAGAGCTTCCATATTTAGAAACCATCACACCATGTGTTTCAAGGCTATCTATGAGTTAGATTCAAACAATAATAAGACAATACACATAATTAAAAAAATAGAAGGGGTAGAGATTAAAAACAGAAAAGTATGGGAAAAAGATTTTAGGAACATACTACTTCAACTTTGCCATGTGCAAACTCCAACTTCAAAGCAAGTTGGTGATTTTCCTCTGTCAAGGCCTCAATCTGTATTCAAGAGGAAAGTAAACAATAAAACTTGCGGTTTAGTCAAAAAAATGATATGAAATGGATAAATGGATATAGTAGTGAATAAATAAACCTTCTTCTGAGAGTCGAAGTAAAGGCTTCTGTAATTGACATCTGCTGCCCTTGAGTTTTCACTAGTGTGAGAATCCTTTGATGGCTGCGTTAATGCCAATCAAAAGTATTGTTTAGAGTTAATAAAATTAGGAGCACAATGCAGAACGATGAAAATTGAAAGAAAGGGCAAAATACCTTAGACTTTAATTCATCTACTGTCCTTTGTAGTGTTTCCAATTGTCGTTCAATGAAGTAAACTCTATCTTCCAAATTTTTCTGCACCAAGCTTGGTTTGGCTACATCACCCCCATAATTAGTTGGATCCTCTTCTTTCCCACCGTCACTAACCGTTACCTCATCAATAACTTGTTCAATATCCTTGTTTACAGCAGGCATAACTGCACTTTGAAATCTTTGAGACCGCCTGACAGTGGTCGAAGCAGCAACCTTCGCCTTTTTCCTTGACTTTGCATGGGTTTTCAGTGGATTTATGTCTTCAGTTGGTGATTCCTTGGTCTGTGCTGAAGGATTTACACATTCAGGTTGACTTTCCATTCCTCCAGAAGCAGGATCAGTGTTTTCAAGCTTTGACCATAACAAAAGCAGCAGTGATTTAGAATTGAGCTTAACTTCTAGAATCCAATTAATTTAAACAAAAATTTCTAACCGAAGCTCACGTTAATTTCAATGACCAGATATCAAATAAACCACAAGAAAAAAGATAATAACACAAATAACCAATGCCCAGTAAAAATTTAATTTGAAAAATATAAAACATATATCTGCAATCATTCTCTGGTCTATAATGAGTTAATTAATTTATCATTTTATTTGGAAAATTACAAAAGAACTTGAGCCTTTATTGTGGATATATCTAATTTCTCATAAGGTGATTGAAGCAAACATAAACTCACATGCCCATCTTCCTCATTGACAGCCAGGAGTAATATATAACAAACTGCAAACAACACCATTAACCACCTAAACCAAGACCAAATACTTATTCTCAACATAGAAGGAAAAATACCTTCTTTTGCTCATCAATACTCTTCAATGAGAAAAACTACAAGAAAAAGGCAACCATCAAGATTCTAAACAGACAGAATCCTTTTTTTATAACATGCGTATCCAAACCTTTGATCCTAGTAGTCCCGTGGGTTCAAACATACTCCTTACTATCATTAAACCCTAAACAACATGCAGCGGATACCAAAAAGAGCCCCACAAGTTAGATAACACAACGAAAGGAAAGAGACAACAATGAGGGAAAATACAGTAACCCATCACCCAAAAACATACCAGACCAAAACTAATGAAGTATGAAACTTTTTAGCTTTTCTTTACCTTAGAAGCCTTTTCTTCAGCCTTCTCCGCTGGCCGCCTCCCTCTCTTCCCCACCATTTTGTCCGAAATGGTCCCCTTCGCAACGGACAATGTGGGCGAGAAAACGTACGCCTTCCTCCTCGATTCTAGCCTGCTTTACTGCCTTTACTGCTGTTGCTATTGTCTGACCAATACTTAAACGTAATTGTTGGCCTTCCCCACTTCCCCACGTTACGGTTCTTGGGCTGGACCTTGTTTGGGCTAAACGAGAGGCTTCATTATTTTGGTTCAGCACAAGCGGGTCCCGTGATGACCCCGAATGGGATTGAAACCGAGTCATTCCTTTCGCTTTCCCCTGTGGATTTCACAAGATAAGGAGATAACATAACACATTCAGTCCATAGCAGAATGAACCCAAGAAGATAACCGATTTCTCTGAATTCTTCGTTTCTTCGCAGTTCCATGGTACCTCTGCTTTCCCTTCGGGCGCCCGCCTCTACCCTTAAACCTCTCTTCCTCTTCATCCCTTCCCTTCCCTTCACTCGTTTCAACAAGCTCCATCTTCGCCGTGCTGGTTTTCCCAGAAAGGGTTCTGTCTCCGGTAAACCTTTTATCCGTTCACCCCGCCAAAAGTATGACGCACAAAGCCAGCAAAATGAGCAGCCTCCGAGGACTCTGTTTCCTGGTGGGTACAAGCGCCCCGAGATCAAGGTGCCTAATTTCGTTCTTCAATTGGAGCCGGAGGAGGTGTTGTCAGGGGGTAATGCGAATGCGTTCGATTTGATTGATAATGCCTTGTCGAAGTTTGTCGGCGTTGTTGTGCTTAATGGCGGTGAAGGAAGCGGCGGCAGGGTCTATGAGGCTGCTCGTATGTTGAAGTCTGTTATCAGGGATCGAGCGTATTTTTTGATTGCCGAGCGTGTCGACATTGCGGCTGCTGTTGGTGCTAGTGGGGTTCTGCTCTCTGATCAAGGTGGGTAGGCATTCCATGTAAAGTTCGCTTTTTTAACTCTCTTTCTGAAAAATGCTTAAGCAGCTGAACTTGTGCATAATTAAAGTCTCCTACTATTTGGATTTTATTTAGACGTTTAATTTGGAAAACCTTTTCTAACAGGCCTTCCTGCCATTGTGGCAAGAAACACCATGATGAGTTCCAACTCTGACTCAGTAGTTCTTCCATTGGTAGCTATGAAAGTGCAAAACGCAAGTGCTGCCTTGAATGCTACTAATTCTGAAGGTGCTGATTTTCTTATATTTGATGTGGGTGTTGATGAACATGTAAAGACTGTTTTCAAGAATGTGAAGATACCAATTTTTATTCCAAATGATTCAAAGGGAAAGGCTGAAGGGATTACAAAGGTGTCAGAGCTTCTTAAATCAGGTGCTAGTGGGTTAGTTATATCATTGGAAGAATTGGGGTCGTTTGGCGATGCTCTGAGCAGGTTGTTTGACTCTGTATCTGCGACAAATGAAAAACCTGAGGATAGGCTTCAAAGCTTCAGCATGTTAGAAATGTTGGATGTTAATAATGATTCCTACGAGAATAAGGGTGTGGCAGGCTTTGCTAAACTGGAAGATAGAGAAAAAGAGCTTGTTGAGAAAGAGAGATCACTATTGCATGAAGTCATAAATGTTGTCAAGAAAGCTGCTCCACTGGTGATCTTTTAATTAAATATTGGTAGTTGAGTTTATTCTCAAAATAGTAATGATATTCAGAAATTCTTTAGTTTATTTTTTGTTGAGTGTCAATTGGTTTTGAATGGCAGATGGAGGAGGTTTCACTTCTCATTGATGCGGTTTCTCAAATTGATGAACCATTTCTGCTGGCTATAGTGGTAATTGTGTGCTGAACTTCAACAAATTCTGGTTCCAGGGATATACATTGGTATTCGCTCTAAATTTCATACGAATACTTACCTTTTTTTTTGAAAAGTAGGGAACTGAAGTGGCATTTAATTCAGTTGACCTTCATTTAGAAGATACTCCATGAAAGAAAACTTGAATTTGTGTTGGCAAAGTCAAAAGATTTGCCGGTGCAATGTGCCATAACAGAGGATAGATTTACATTAAAAAACATTTTGACTGAATGAAACCTTGCATTGCCCATAATATTTGCTTATAGATCTTTGTTTTGTCGATTGGATGTCATATCATTGTGTCAACTATCCTGCACTTCTTCCAGTTGTCTTAAAATGTTTGACTTTAATTCTTATCTATCTCTTCTCATTGTTTAGTAGATGGCACAAATGCAATACCTTATGGTTTATGAAAGTTCCTTGAACATTTTGCGTTCAGAGAAAACTGTTTTATCATAAATATAATGGCTAGCAACAGAAAGTGGGAACATTGTGCAATATTTGTAAATTGGTCTTTAATTCATGCCTTAGACCTCTATCTAATCCTGCTAAAAGGTTGTTTTTTTTTTCTTTGACTTTTATATCTTTCTTGGGATTGGCAGGGTGAATTTAACTCTGGTAAATCAACGGTAATCAATGCACTTCTTGGAAAAAGATATCTCACAGAGGGAGTTGTTCCTACAACTAATGAAATCACTTTCTTATGCTACTCCAAGTCAGAAGCTGGGGGGCAAGAGCGTTGTAAAAGGCATCCAGATGGTCAATTAATGTGTTACCTTCCTGCTCCAATTCTTAGAGAAGTGAGTCATTTTGGCGTTTCCTCATTTGTACTCTTGGATTTAGTTACTGATGTCCACCCTTATGGATTCAGTGGTTGATTTCTTTGTCCCTAATAAGATACAGGCATAGCTTCTTTATATCAATTATATTATTTGATAGAATATGCATTATTTCTCTCTTGAATCTGACATGGAAGTTTAATCTTCAATAACTACTGGTAATTGGTTTTGTGAGGATGCGACACTAAATAGGAGCTCATTTGGCTGTTTTTTGTTAGTATGTTGGTTGCTATATGTATACTGAGGTTTTACTATCCATAAAACTGATGAAATTTTGAAATTCATGAAGAGAGTTATGCTGGTTGAGCATTTCATATGAACTTTAGTGAGTAAGACGACAGATAACCTTTTGAAAAATAAAAGAATGTGGGAAAACAAACAACAAATGCAATTGTCTCCATCAACCTGTTTTATTTTCACAGATTAGCATCTTGAAAATTGATATAGATTTCAGTTTGGTTTACTTTATGTGCTAGAAGGAACTAAGTTTAATATCCTGGAATGCAGATGAATATTGTTGATACCCCTGGGACTAATGTTATTCTGCAAAGGCAACAACGGCTAACTGAGGAATTTGTGCCTCGTGCAGATTTGTTAATTTTTGTTATTTCTGCAGATCGCCCTTTAACCGAGAGTGAGGTATGATTAGTTACACTTGTCAGTGTGGCATAGCATGCTTATATTCTGGAGGCCCACATGTTGAACTGTTTTTTTCTTTTTGGTGAATTCTATGGTTCTGCCAGCTTGTTGGCTGGGAAGATGTAAACTTCAGTACTATATTTATATGGAAAACTTTGTTCATGAAACAGCTTTACAATTCACTGCTTTTTGTTAGATAAATAAAAGGTAATTTAATCACATTTAAGTACTACTGAGGAGGTTGTAAATTTTTTATCCTTAAGGTGATTCTGTCTGATCGATTCTCATTTTCTAAATTTCCATGTGATGAAACCATAGAAATCTCAGACTTAAAGTTAAGCATGATATACCTATGAATATGAATTCACTACTAGTAGTTACTAAAATTTATTATGCTTTATGGAAAGAAATTTGTTTTCATAGAGGAGCTTGTTCTAGCTGTTGGAGGAATCATACTTATCTTTTCTGTGAATTTTGGTTTTGAATCTGACCTTGAATGGTACTTCAGTCTCCTGCCAGAACTCATGAAGTATTGATTGCTTTTGAACCCTGTGAATTGTGCTAAATTAATACAAATTGTTATTAACTTTGAGAAGGTAGCCATGTGGTTGACCTAGAGTATGGTAGAATTTGTGTTGAGCTAATTTCTTTTTGTACCATGTATCTATTTCAGGTCAACTTTCTTCGCTATAGTCAACAGTGGAGAAAGAAAGTTGTATTTGTGTTGAACAAAGCTGACCTTTATCAGGATTCCCACGAGGTTTAATTTTGCATTTTTATTAAATTGGTTGATAATTTATTTATTTATTTATTTTGTTGTTAAAAGTAGGTGCTTTGACCTTCTTGAGAAACTAGTAACCACTTACTTTGTTTTGTTCTGTTGAAGCTTGAGGAAGCAATATCATTTATCAAGGAGAATGCTAAGAAGTTACTAAATACTGAGGATGTAATGTTATATCCATTGTCTGCACGTTCTGTTCTTGAAGAAAGACTTTCAGCTTCTTCTGCCCTCAGGAAAGATAATGGGGAATTAGCAGTCTCTGGTTCTAACTGGAGAACCAATAGCTTTTATGAATTTGAAAGCTTCTTGTATAGTTTTTTAGATGGATCAACTACTCTGGGGATGGAGAGAGTAAAGCTTAAACTTGAAACACCAATTGCAATTGCAGAGCAATTACTTTCTGCCTGTGAGACTCTGGTGAGAGAGGAATGTCAATCTGCCACAGAGGATTTGACTTCAGCAAATGAAATCATTGATGGTGTAAAAGGGTATGTAACAAAGATGGAAAATGAGAGCATCTCTTGGAGGAGAAAAATCTTTTCAGAGGTACAATTTCAGAGATTAAACTTTCTCGAGTCTGACAAATTGTCAGTGTTATTTACCACATGATAATGTGTACATCTTAATGGATTGCACCTGTGCATGGTATTGCAGATTGATACTACAAGATCAAATATTGTGGAGGTCATAGAATCTACACTGCAATTATCAAATCTTGATCTTGTTGCTTCATATGTTTTCAAAGGGGGAAATTCTGCCATAATGCCAGCCACTTCAAGGGTTCAAAATGACATAATTGGTCCTAAACTTTCAGATGTTCAAGTGAGTTAATGCAGTCTGTCCATAATCTAAGTTAAAAAAGTATATTATGTCCATTTATGGTTTTAATTTGTGAAATTGCTATATTTCTTTAAGATGCACAAGTGAACTGCTTATAATTCTTTAATGTGGTTTGTTAATGCATACAGAAAGTGCTCAGAGAATATCTGAGATGGTTAGAATCGAATAATGTTCATGAAGGAAAGCTGTACATGGAATCTTTTGAGAGTAAATGGCCTACGCTTGTCCATTCAGATAAATCAAATCATTTGGAGACCTATGATCTGCTGAGAAAGTTGGGTCAATTCAGCCTGAGAGTTATAGAGAACTTCAGTGCCAATGCTGCTTCCAAACAATTTGACCAAGAAATTCGTCAAGCAGTGAGTTGTCTAATCTTTAAAATCACAGTGAAATATGTTCTAAATAATTAATTAACATATAAATTAGTCCTGTAGGCTTGGAAATGTATCTTATTAATGTGATTGGTTTGTATTTATTTATTTGGATTAGTTATCATAAACGTTATATTTGAAGAAATTCCTTTGTGAACTTACAGGAAAATTCTTATAAAACATCTGCATTTTAATGCGCAAATATATATTTGAATTCTTTTGTTGAGAAACCCTTTTTTCTTTTTTTTTCTTTTTTTTTTTGTGAATCAATGAACCTGAACGGAAGTATTTTCTCCCAATTGCAGTTCTTGGGGACTTTTGGTGGACTAGGGGCAGCTGGTTTGTCTGCTTCACTTCTTACATCTGTTTTGCCTACTACTTTGGAAGATCTTCTTGCACTTGGCCTTTGTTCTGCTGGAGGGTATACATATTTTTCAATTAATCTCATTTTATTCCTTTATGATTCATCCCTTCCCATTCCCAAATTCTTTTCATAAAAGTTTGGGATTAAGTGTGATTTGAGGTCCTTTAGGGCATAAAATCATAGCACAGCCATACCAACCACTATTGTTAGATGCGTACACCACCTATTCTTGAAATATCTATATGATCTTGTTATTGGTTGATTCTTTTATTAGATTAGAGCTTAAAAAATCTTACTCAGGTAAAATGAGACATTTTATGCTGGTATTGTTGCCTTTTTGGGACAAGGTGTGGCTTCTCAGATTCTCTCAATTAACTAGTTACCCTGATGTTGAAATTTTTGCATACTGTCAAATTAGTGCCACTCTGATTAACATATTTTAGGACAGTCTGTGTGACATCCTCATTTCCTAGGGACCTATAGTCATGGATTCCACCCTCGTCAAATATAACAAATCAGCAAACAGATTGTTGAGTTATTGCTTTCATGACAGGTATATAGCCATTTCAAACTTCCCAGCTCGTAGACAAGGAATGATAGATAAGGTGAATAGAATAGCAGATGCATTGGCACAAGAACTTGAAAATGCCATGGAGAAGGATCTCACAGAAACTGTCAATAACCTGGAAAACTTTGTGAAGACCGTAGGCAAACCTTACCAGGATGCGGCACAAACAAGGTTAGACAAATTTCTTGGAATTCAAGATCAGGTGTTAAATGTCCAGAAGAAACTTAAAACACTACGAGTTGAAATTCAAAATCTCCATGTAATACCCGTTTAAACTTTGCATATGTCTCTGCATTCCTCTCCAGCAGCGGATGTGAGAATGAAGTGTGTTGTTGTACCGGTGTTGTCCCATTTTTTGCCTAATTGGTTTTCAGTGGTTGATAATTGTACAATGTGCATGCATGATGCATCAATGAGAACAACCCATTTTCAATGAATTTCTGGTTTTTCCTGCAGGTTAATGCTTCTCAACCCCAGTTGCAATTTCCAACCTTTTTTCATTACATGTTTCTTTCTAAAACATGCAACTCATTAGTAGAAACATGACACCTAAACCTACATATTAATAGGTCTTACTTACCTTTTAGTCCTTAGATTAGATTAGGTCTTAAGTAAAGACACGGATGGATCCCATTAATCGTCCATGAGCTTTGAATGGGAAATATTTAAACTTTATTCCTTTCTTTTCTGTTTCTTTTGATTCAACAAACGTTTTCCCTCTTAGTGGTTTATATAAAAATGTTTATCTAGACTTTAGGGTATTTCACTAATTAAAAATTTGAGACTCTAAAATTGAGATAACATTAAAACAGGTTACGAGAGAATATTGCATTTTGTATAACTAATCATCTAATAGAAAAAGAAATGTTAACCCTGACTGCAATTTGAAATGCCTGCTTCCCATAAGAGGGAAAAAATTCTCTTTAAAGTAATATTAAATCATGATTATTAGTATTATGAGTTTGTCTAATTTGTGTATTAAAGACATATTAATTGCATTTTTTCTTATTAATTTGTATAAGAAAACACAAAATGTAACTTCATTTTCAACACAAATAACAAATGTCCATTTTTAATTAGATGTTAAACCTAAAGTTAACTTTTATTTATTTCATAACTATTAATGAAAAAAAGTGTAATTAATATACTTTTAACTGGGGCACAAAATAAAAAAATCTTAATATTGTTACAAGAACAAGAATAGGACAATAACATTACTATGAATAATAATGAGAGTTACTTATATTCTTAGCTATTAGTTTAGGACTTACTCCTTATTCTTTACACACCAAAAATTAACAATAGTGAGTGGCAGTTGAAATTCGTTTTGGACCTCAATTACTGTTTCAACTAAACAGCAGCCTCACTGTACCGCACCAACCATAAAGTTCTTTCGTCAGCTCATCTCTGTATTAAGATTGCAATTAAGAAAACAAAATTTCTTCCATGGTCCTACTGCTTGGGACATGTTTGCATGAGAATTCATTTCAATTGGCTTTAGAGAAAACATCTTGAAGAAACAATGGAAGAGATAAAGGCATAGTCAAAAGAGCAAAGCAATGAAAATATTTGATACCCAAGAAGCTTTCTTGGAAAAGATTTCTACAGTAGAATCAAATTAGAAAATAGGAAAACGACTAAACAGGAAAAGGTACAACTTTAGAATTTTTCATTTGAGACCAATGGAGGGTGTGATCTTACAAAGAGACCCTTTTTCTTGGTTTCTTTAGGGTTCTTCCTTTTTCTAGTGGTTGGATGATCTAAAACAAAATCATGTAATCAAGATTATGCAAAAAGATAGATTTCGAAAGCAAATTTGGTGGTTGGGGCAGGAGAGAGTGAGTGAAAGTGGGTACATATTCTTGGTATCCCACTAAAGATCCACTTAGAATGTAGAGATTGCTCTCTAAATCAATATATCCATGCATGGGTCAAAATCCATGGAGGGTTGGTCTGCCTTATAAGCATAATACAGTGAAACTAAACCTATAAATATAACATTATTATTATTATTATTATTATTATTATGATTATTATTATTTAGTATTAACCTACCAATATTTGGTAACCGCATTGGACTTTGACTAATTCAAAATTGAATCACGTTAGATTCTATTAGAGGGAAGCTCTCTCAGCACTTGTTTTTTCATTCACGATATTAGATACTCGAACTTAATACTTTGCTTAAGGAAATCGAATTCCTTTCATTCGAATTAATAGGTTGTTGGTAAACCTATAACACTAGTAATAGATAATTTATATATAATAAATATGAACAATTAAGTGCAGAGATTCATCCATTACTCATTAGTAATTGCTATTGAGGAAAAAACAAACCTCATAGGACTACACAATTATAGATCCAAAGCATTTGAAAATACTTAAGTTTTTAGAGTAGAAGAATTAGTTAAGGATTCTATCCTCAACTATATCATAAACAGCAGAAACAATGCACCAACTCATCCGAGCCTAACCAGCCTTACATTCACATTGTATTCCTCCTCCACCACAGGCAAAACCTGAAGAATATACATCAAGAGTTGGGACAAAGATCTTTAACCGAAAGAAAAAATCTCACAAAAAAGAGGGAAACCCAAAGGAAGAGAAACACACCTTTACCCGTGCTTTTTTCTTTTTGTTTTAGACAAATGCATGTGACTATTGCTTAGTTGATTAGTGTGATAGATTCTTTTGTATTCAGATGTTTCTATCGTACTGGATTTTTTTTTTTTGAATTCGAAGGTCTCTTACTTATATTGCTTGTTATTGCTTGCAGGTTTCTTCTTTCACAAAGAAAAACTGTTCGGACCAACTACCTATTAGTTTGAAGAGAAAGAATTCTACTTTTCTTAAATAACTTTTTGATTTTGAGTGTTGTTAATAGAAAAATAGATATTAAAAGAATTTTTTCTTATAAGATTCAAGGTAACTTAATTTTGTATTAGTTAAGACTTAATTTGACTTTTAGATATAAAAAGATTATTAAAATAAAAAATACAAAGAAAAGAAACTACGCCGATTGTCTTAACTGTTAGTAGCTGTCTTGGCGGAGAATACATTATCCGTAAGAAAGTGCACCTCAATAAATTTTTCCAGCCCCGACGAGGTAACCAAACACAATTGGTGGAGAATCATGTCTTTTATGGAAAAGTGCTTGATTACTAGAATTTAAAT